TTTTTATTAGCAACTTACAATACTTGATATTGCTGTCTTGAAAGGTAATTTTTTTAACAGTATGGAAATCTCATATCCAATCTCTGGGTCTGCTGGGGGGCACTATTAGCAATGCAGTGGCGCAGTTGGTAGTGCTGTCGCCTTACAGCAAGAAGGTCGCTGGTTCGAACCTCGGCTGGGTCAGTTGGCGTTTCTGTGTGGAGTTTGTATGTTCTTCCTGCGTTCCTTTCGGTTTCCTCCGGGTGCTCCGGTTTCCCCCACAAGTCTAAAGACATTGGGTAGGCTAAATTGTCCGTATTGTATGAGTGTGTATGGATGTTTCCCAGTGATGGGTTGCGGCTGGAAGGGCATCTGCTGTGTAAAAACATGTGCTGGATAATTTAGTGGTTCATTCCGCTGTGGAGACCCCGCATTAATAATGGGACTAAGACGAAAAGAAAATGAATGAATGAATAAATCATTGAATAGGATGAGACTATTGGTATCTCGCTTTAAAATAAACAAATTTGTTGGAATTTTTAAATATTTTTCCTTTTTAAATAGATAGTTTCCCAAAATAATGAAAATTGTCATCATTTAACCAACTTTTACTTGCTCAAAACCATTTAATCTGTTGAAATCAAAAGAAGATGTTCTGAAGAAAGCTGGAAACCAGTAACCATTGACTTCCATGTTGTTAAATAAATATATTGCTGATGAATCAAAGAAATCTTGACTTTCCTTGTTTCTTATCCCACTTTAAAAAATTATATATGTTATATATAATTTTAATTATAATTATATAATATATATATATATAACAAATTAAAAATAAGATACAAAAAGTGTAGGTAATTCAAAATGGCATGACAAGATATTGTTTTCGTAGTAGTTGAATTGCAAAATATTGTTGCAATTATTTTATGAGAACCCCATAAAAGCTGTTTATTGTTGGAGAATCTGCTTTTATGGGTGTTATATTTAGCAAGTAAAAGTAAAAGATTGGCAAAAGATTGCTTTCTCGGTGTTATTGTCTGTAACACAACAATACAAGCGTTCAAAACAAAGAAAAACGCGTTACGTCACAATTTGAGTCGACGTAAGGGCATGTTGGGCCAATCAGTGTAGGAAAACGGGAGACTGTGGGCGGGGTGTCTCTTCCACAGGGAGCGGTCCGCCAAATTCAAACAGCCACTCGAAAACAAAGTAAAGGACAGTCGGCTTTCCAGAATCTGCGTATTGGGAAAAGAAGGGTGAGTTTCGACATTGCGATTTAAAACAATGCAATTTGATGTTATGTACATGCTTGTAGTTTAAAGCATAGGCATATTTATTTGGACGAGTTTAGGTTTGGGCGTTAACTTTTCAGAGAAACGTGTTCTGCTTTCCTTCACTCAGTCATGTTACAGGAGACAGTAAGTAAACTGTTAAAGCTAACTGTTAGAGAGTAAGGGTTTAGTATCGTTTTATATACATTTTGCACTAATTTTGCCAGGTTGTTTATTATTTCACACTGCAAGGAAACATGAACAATAAATTATATATATATATATATATTATATATATATGCATGCTATTTTATTTATCACCCAAAAAAACACTCAAGTGATTATTTGTTGTATATTTCGAAAATTCTAATTATAAAGAATATTTTCTGGAGTGAAAATAATATATTTGATTTATCAGAATAGCTCTGTACAATTTTTTATGTTTTAATTTAAATTAAGTAACTTATACTATACTTTTTTGTTAAATATAAATGTAATTATATTTCATTTAGCCAAGATTTTTTTTGCGAGCTAGTTGAAATAAAAGGTTGTTATATTGTATGTAATATTTAGTCGTTAATAAAAAAATCGTATTTGTTAGTGATTAACATTAGTTTATGATAATTAGCCATATAACTTTACATATCTATTAAAGTTCTGTTAAGTAATAAAATATGCATGCTCATGTTAGTTCAAAAGATAACTAGTTTAGGTTTATAAAAATGCATTAATAAATCTTGCTTGACATTAGAATTAACAAATGTTCCATAATTTCCCAGAGATGGGATGCGGCTGGAAGGGCATCCGCTGTTGAAAACGTGCTGAACAAGTTGGCGGTTCATTCCGCTGTGGCGACCCTGAATTAATAAAGGGACTAAGCTAAAAAGAAAATGAATAAATGAATGAAATGTTCCAAACATTTTTCAGTGTTATCTTTTGTCAACTAATGTTAGCAAATCAAACTTTGTTGTAAAGTTTTAAGATTTGTTCTTTCAAGGACGAAAAAATTATTTAAGTTTTATAGTTTAATAGTCCTGTGACATAAGAAGTCAGTGTTATTTTTAACAGGACATCACTTATATAAGCTATGCAGTTAAAGCACAGGTGTCAAACTCGGTTCCAAAAGGGCCGCAGCTCTGCACAGTTTAGTTCCAACCCTAATTAAACACACCTGATCAAACTAATTGAGTGCTTCAGGCTTGTTTGAAACCTACAGGTAAGTGTGTTGGAGCAGGGTTGGAACTAAACTGTGCAGGGCTTCGGCCCTCCAGGAATTGAGTTTGAAACCCCTGAGTTAAAGTCAGAATTATTTCCCCCCCTGAATTATTAACCCCCTGTTTATTTTTTTCCCTCAATTTCTGTTTAACAAAGTTTTTTTTTCAACACATTTCTAAACATAATAGCTTTAATAACTTATTTTAATAACTCATTTTAATAATTTGTAATAACTGATTTCTTTTATCTTTTTTTTATAACAGTACATAATATATTTTACTAGATATTTTTCAAGACACTTCTAGCTTAAAGTGACATTTAATGGCTTAACTAGGTTTATTAGGTTAACTAGGCAGGTTA